TGCCTATTTGAATGATTCTTTGTAGTGACACGATAAGGAAATCATGTTAGATATATTCTAACTTACCAATAAATCAGATAACTTACTTTAAAACTGTTGATGACTCCTGCATCACACCTGTATATTTGTAAGATTCGTTGTTGGTAAGACAACATGAACCGGTGGGTGCATTATCAAGAAGTAATAGAATGTTTCTCTGACAACGATGCATTATTCTATCAAATCTCTCGAGCCAATCATTAAAAATGGAAATTTGCATCCAAGGTTTTTTGTTCCAATACCATATTGCAAACTGTTATGGGGAATCCCACGAAGATTTGGTTGTTTGTACTTGTGAACAAACATAGCCGGAAGCTTTTCACCTGTTAAACTGCAAGCGAGGAGTATTGTCACACGCTCCTTATTTCTTTTTCTTTCCAGCAAGTGGCCCCGTGTGCAGGATCCATTTTCCAAAATAATCCCGTCTAGCATGACAAGGATGACGAAGCGAAAAGTATTAGGCTATAAAAGCATTCTTGTCTTTGCGTAATATGTGTGCAAGGTAACACACGCTTTGTGCACAAGGATTTTAATTTGCGCACTTGAGAAAAAATTTTTTTTTCATTCAAACTATGTCGTTAACTCCAGGGCTTGTTAATAATCCAGCAATTGACAATTTAGTTCAAGCTTCCTTAGAAAGTAAACATAAACTTGAATGGATTTCTTGCTGGCAAATTACCGAGACAGAGTCAACTCAAATTGATAATGTCTACTACGCTATTTACGAACGTAGTTATGATAAAATAATGCTGCTATACCTTGGGAACGACGAAGAATGTACACAATTATTCGTGAACGAGTTTGCCAGAATATACTCGCTTCCAACACACAAGTACAACAATGACGTTAATTGCTTTGGAAGATATTCTACATGGCTCGAATATCGCAACGAACTCATATACGGATTCACCAACTACGATAATAACTTTTACATGGTTGCTGATGGGAGGTTTTACCATTATTATTCTCGATATGGATTCTGCACTGCATGCGGAATACTTCGATGTAGTCCAGTGTGGTGCGTTTGTGGACATAAACAATTATCCAATGGATGGACTAGCAACAATATGCATCTTGACGAGTTTATTAAAAAATCTCAATTACAAACAACATCAGCAAATGACGCCTATTTGGAATGGATTTCATTTGATCGTGTTAGGAATTGGGGAGGTATGTACTTTTTGTATGATCTACCTACTGCTCTTCATGGTGGAATTACAGCAATTCCACTTGAGATAACAGATGAGACACATGATTTATACTGTGCCAAGGTAAACAATTTGCTTATTATTTTTATTATGCATCACGTTCATTGACTAGTTTAAATAGTTATTGACATATTATTATGTATGATTCGACTAGTTATGTGATAATCATCCAGATATTCTTACCACAGATGTTTGGGTTACCATTGGATTCACATATGATGCAGTAAAACAAAAGTACTACCTAATTAGAGTCGATAATGGATTATGTTTGGCATGTATTCATCAATTGGAACCCAAGATAAATGCATTCTGTTACCATTGTAAAGCACCAAGACCTCTTAACTGGACTACAGGCAACAAGTCACTGGATTCATTTATTATGGAATCATGGAGTAATATAACAAGGACAGATGATGCCTATATACAATGGATAGAATCTTCTCTGTTGACAGACATACAAGAAATGACTCCATTACACCATGGATGTACGCATATAGCAGAATGGTTGGAACCAATGGCAAACAAGTTAACCCAAGTAGCACTCAAGCAAATAAGTGATAGTCAGTCACTTAATTTTGATCAGGTAAATTATTTCACATGCAAATAATATTAAATATTAGTATGCATTGTTATTGTGTTGATTGTTGGTAATAATTGTATATGTATTGTTTATTCAATAGTTAACTAAGGAATATCCAAAGATATTAACTCCTGATAATGTTTGGATAATTGGAATCACTCAAATGCTATCTGCCCAGAAATATTATTATTATCTAGTTTTCTACCATGAAATACATCAGATATTGGACAAAGTTATGCACTATTCTGATTATAAAAAGGTCAAGTACATGCAATATGCTGACTTTTATGATATTAAACAAATTGGAGTTGGTGGTTATGGGACAGTCTATACTGCCAGACATAAAAACAATTCAGAAATGCATATGCCAGAAACTGTTGTACTCAAACATTTTAAGAATTCTGATAAGGCACCAGATTTATTTATTTCTGAGGTAAGCATTCTTTCATATCATGAATTAAAGTACAATTCTGTATTTATTTATTTATTTATTTATTTATTTATTTATTTATTTATTTATTTAATAGTTCAGAAATCATGTCAAGTGTTTGTATGATGGGTTCCTTCAAATTTATGGAGTCACACAGAGCCCAGAAACAAAAGAGTACATAACTGTTATGCAATATGCTAACAAAGGTAGTCTTTTGTCTTATTTGGATCAAAATATTAACAAATTGACATGGAGGATGAAACTAAAGCGCTTGCTTCGTATTGCATTGAATCTGAAATGTATTCATGATTTGGGTTTAGTGCATTGTGATCTGCACGGTGGAAACATTGTTATGCATCACAAGACACAAGGGATAGATCCATTGATATGCGATCTTGGTCTCTCACGATCAGTGAATTCACACGTGTCAGATTCAAACATTCAAGGCGTCTTACCTTTTATTGCACCAGAAGTCTTTCATACCTGCAAATTTACACAGAAATCAGACATATATTCGTTCGGTATTATTATGTATTTGATGGCTACTGGTGAACCACCATTTAGAGATAGGTCGTTTGATAGAAGTTTAATATGCGATATTATGGGCGGACTACGACCATCGATGCCTGGTTTTGCACCAGATGAATATAAGAAACTCGCTGCATGGTGTTGTGATGCTGATCCTGATAAGCGTCCAGATTCAAATAAACTTTACGATTATATTGCTGAGCTTGTTAGAGAGGCGAACAAAGACAAGGACAATTTTGATGACAGCACGTGGTTTACCATTTATTATAACGATGTAAAACCCTTATCACGTTTCGAGAAAGAGACCAAATATTCTAGTACGCTCTTACCTACCGGAGATTTGCCTAAACCGAGAAACAGTTATGGTTTGAATTCAGCTGCAGGTATGAAGAAAACAGTTGGTTATATTATAAATAAAGTCAATATAACAATATTAACATTGTCCGCTGCTTATGATTTAGTGACTCAAACACTATATGAATAGACTTGTAACTCGCGATTTATTTACAGCTTTGCCATTAAATAAATATTATTTATTATCCTATTATAGTGACCTTATACTGTACAGAAAAGAAAAGGGTGGCAGTTTTTTTTTTAATGGGAACAAAAACTTAGTTGGTTCTTTAAATTCAATTATAAATTTTTCGTATAATGTTATCAGTACTGTATAGTAAATTTGTCCTAATAACACAAATACTGTATATCAATATTCATATTAATATGTTTTCGTTAACCGCCATATCTGTCATATTCTGTCATATTAATTTGTTGTTGAACGTATCCCTATGGATAATAAAAGTCTCTTTATTTTCTGAGGAAAACAACTTGTCAAGTCTTTCTACCATTTTGCCTAAAAATGCTATGACCGCATTTGAAACAGCGTTCAATTTTCTTCACCAAGATGATATAGAGATAGATTACAACGAGCTCAAAGTTTTCGTTTATTGAAACGGAAAGTAGAGTTATATAATGTTACACATCAGAAGCTGGAATAAGATTTATCTTTTAGTAATTGATACGACTTATTCTTCTTTCCACGTGTTGGCGTTTATTTGACAATTTAATAAATATTATTTACAAAAGCCTCGGTGTACCGAATATTACTTGACTTTAATATAAACTTTGTTACAAAGAGAGTGTCTTGTTTTACCGAATTTCTCATTATAAATGCTCCCGGCGGCTTCGGTATAACGAGTTCAACTGTAAATACAGTGAAACCTCTTTATACCGTCCCCCGGTTATACCGGTTTTTTCTATAACGGCCAAAATTTTCAGGAACGGATTTTCACATATGAAATTTCCCTTTATATACCGGTCATCGTTAATTAAATTGTCTATAACGGCTCCGGTCGTCATACACGGCATAAAAAAAATTATATAAAAAAACTTATCAAAAACGCGGCGGCCGTGCGGCTGGGTTTTTTATGACATTTTATGTTTTATGCTTGTTTTACGTTTTATGCTTTTATCTTTGTGTTTTATGGGTGTTTTAAGCAGTTTGATTCGTGCATGGTTTTATACCGCGTTTTATGCATGTTTTATAAGTGTTTTATGAATGTCTTATTGTACGATTATAAAATATATGTAATTTTCCTTTTTATACCGGTCGTTCATGTAACACAATAAATAAACTTCTTTTCACCTTTACTTTCTTTAAACAAAGAATTTATTTGTTGTGACGAATCAATTGCAATCGCTAATATGGTAAATGACGATGACATTATTGAAATGGACCTATCCGAGAGTCATGAGCAAGATGCAAATGATTGTAACTTTTATTAGCACAGCTAAGGTGGCCGTAATATTAATAGATAGATAATATCTGAGATAAATTAATTGGAGACAAGGGCGCACTTGCTCAATCGGCACCGCCGAGTAAATTTGTGCTATGTGATTGGCTCAGATTTCTCGTTGTTATTATATGCATGCAATGTGTGATTGGGAATGTCTTACACAGTGAAACGCGTCGGCCGCATAATTTATATTGTTTAAAGTACTTGATAATATAAATTATGCGGCCCCCGACTTATCGATCTGCATTGGAAATTGTAAGTTTTTACCCATTATAGGTTTAGCGTTACATGCAATTACATGCATTTGTAAGTTTTGTAACGGTAGACTCAACAAAATTATTAAAATATTACATCGGCATCGTATATAAAGCTATGACTGAATTGCATGCTTTCCATCAACTATCTGACAAAAGTCTCATAACATGTCTTCTCTTGTTTCGGATACCCCGTCGTTCAATAATCAAGCTCTCATAGACCCAACTGCCATTAACACACCCATCACACTTACACCTTTTGAAATCAGTCTCTTAATCTGGTCACCCTATCTTCTTACCGTCGACCTTGGCGTTCTTATCGATCCTACCTATCATCAGCGCAAAAACCATCCTCGTTCTCAGAATTCGTTTATTCTTTTTCGTAGAGATTTTGAAGGCCGACTACGCGCACAATTTCCTAATAGATCATATACCATTTATGAGGTCTCAAAGATTGCTGGAAATTACTGGAACATGCAACCAGACCTGGTTAAATTTTACTTCAATATTCTTTCTAAGCTAGCTAAAGAGAGACATAGGCTCGCTTTCCCCGATTATGTTTATAAACCGAAAAGAACCGGACAGAGAAGAAGGATTGGAGAACTATCGTTCAGACATATGGATAGAGATACGTTTGTGAGCCGTCAAAATAGTAGAGTGCGTGCGCGCAGAACTATCAGGGATACCAATACGTGCAGCACTGTTCAAAACGTAGATGGATGCTACCGAGCAGATGGGAATAACATGAATACCGTGTCAAATGAGAATACCGTGGATACCGCTGTGTGTGAGAATACAAATAATGACACTAGCCTTGAGAGCTCATCACAGGATTATGTAACAGCATCATCGATGTGCCATGATACATTGTCTATTCTATTACCAAGCCCAGAGAGCTCTTGCGATAACATCACAAACATCGACAACTCGATAATTTATCAAACAATTCAATACCCCACTTACACAGTTCCTATTCCCAATCTTTTCTCAAATACGAATATGTTTGAGACGGTGGACTTTTTTAATATCAATACGCATATGGCTGAAAATAATGGTGACAAGCGCGTATGATATGGACAGACATACTATGTTATTATGATAGCAACAAAATACTTGAACAATTATTCAAATTTTATGTGTTATAAGATGATGTCTTAATATGTATGATTTCCTAGTTCAAGTGACTTTTTCCTTCAATGATATGATAAGCTTAGTTCCAATTATGTATACTCTACGTTGACGTAAGACATTTATTAAGTATGTTATTATTGCCCACGAGTCTTTGTTATTTGAAATGCTAAATTTTGCGCTAATACCTTACCTTTTGCTATATTGTATGACTTTTGATAAAGATAAGCATGCTTAGTTCAAGTGTAAATTATCGTTTTTGTTGCGTACAAAAATAGCTAGTATCCACCTGCGTTTCTATGGAAATAATCGGATAACGACACGGCAAAGGTTCACACTAAATGCGAAAATAATGTTTTTACCAATAAATTGAATCCAAGCTAAGGTAATTACTTAATTTAAGTTCTCATAGTCTCAACTCGTAAGTCTTCTGCCTATGATTTGTCTCATTAGCATAAGTTTTTCTTTAATTAAAAAAGAGACTTTTTTACGAAGAACTGCATTCCAAGAATAGCTCAATTTGTACTTTAAAGCAAGTTGATATAAATAAAATAAATGTTGGGTTTAGGTTATAAATATAATTGCGATAACATATCTTCTATTATTTTGGCAAGCATTGCCCAGCCAAATTTTTACCCAGGTGTGGGAAGTTTATTCTAAAAGAAATTACATTAATGACACTAAAACTGCCCACCATCCATACACGCCCTTCAATCCCGCCGAAAGGCATTTTTTACAATATTTGTAAAAAGGTAAAGGATTTAAGTCCGTAATGTTACAAAGATAGGCAATAAAAGAAGAACCGATAAAGCAGTGATTTTTTGTTTTTGTGAAAAGTAGTATCTAATTGCTGGCTGATTTTTTCCTCTTCGTATTTTTCTCCACATCGGATGTGTCAAAGTATTACTGAATGCTGGATGCCAGGTGAATATAACGGATGAATTGGGCAATACTCCGAT